GGGTGTGTCAGTTCCTGGGAGGACTATGGCTGTAGCCTTGCAAGGAAAGCACTGTACTAGATCTGCAAGAGTGAGGCACACAGCAGGGCGGAGCAGGGTGCTACCCAGTGAGGGAACCAGGAAGCCCTAGATGTGGAAGGCAGTGTGGAGCAGATGTGGAAGGCAGTTTAGGAACACTATGCTGTCTGTATCCCAGCTTGTCCATTAGTTATTGTGACTTTGGAAATTTTGTTAAGCCCCTGTGTCCTGCAAGACTCATCATCCATTACATGGGGGTGATGATTACACTTGTTCATTTAGATGAATGAAAGGTATGATATGGAATCCATAAACAATAGCAATGATGACAATGGTAGTGGTGATGGTGACGGTATAGATTATCATTATTTGTGGCCTCTAAAGGAGAGAGATACATGGTGGAGGCATTATGGAGCCTTGAAAACAATTAAGCTTGCATACCCTAGAAAGGAATTTGTATGACAAAATTTCCTGTTCCTCTTTCTAGAACATTGCTATGAATTTTCATGCCCAACATTTGTTGTGCAAACAAAGTTACTTATTACAATATGGTTTGTAGTAGCAAAAAGTGTTAATTGGAAAAATGTTATCATTGACTTACATTTGTATATTTACTTCAGAGCATCATGTTGCATACAATAAACACAGTATTTACAAATTAAATGATAAATTTTAAGATGGTGGTGGGCCTGGCACCATGGTGTAGAAGATTAATCCTATGTCAGCATCCTGTATGGGCGCAGGTTCGTGCCCTTGCCTCTCCACCTCATATATAGCTCCCTGTGTATGGCCTGGGAAAGCATTGGAGGATGCCCCAGGTCTTTTTGCTCCTGCGTCCATGTAGGAGACCCAGAAAGTGCTCCAGCCTCCTAACTTCAAACTTGCCCAGGGCCATTTGGTGAGTGAACCAATAGTTGGAAGATCTCCCTTTAACTCTGCCTTTTGAATAAAAAAAAAATCTTTTCTAAAAATGGTGACATTGTAGGGCCCAGCCTGGTGACTCAGTGGCTGATCTTCACCTTGCAAGCGCCCTTATAGGATCCCGTATGGGTGGCAGTTTGTGTCCAAGCTGTTTCACTTCCCATCCTTCTCCCTGTTTGTGGCCTGGGAAAGCAGAAGAGGATGGGCTAAAGCCTTGGGACCCTGCACCCACATGGGAGACCGGGAAGAAGCTCCTGGCTCTTGACCTCAGATTAACTCAGTTCTGGCCATTGTGGCCATTTAAGCAATGAACCAGTGGATTAAAGATCTTTCTCTCTGCCTCTTCTGCTCTTTGTGAATCTGGCTTTCCAATAAACATAGTAAAAACAAATAAATCTGAAGAAGGAATGGCAACAACATAAATGTCTCTGAGCAGCAGTTGAGCAGGTGTATGACTGCCGTTCCCTAAGGACCCTCTTTGTGCCTGACCTCTCTGCTGCAGCCAGAGTGTTAGCTGGAGAACAGACATTCTTGTTGTGTTTACTGTACATATGAGTTCCAGAGTAGTTTCTAGCCCATGATCAACTCATCTTCAACATGTACTATATCTTTATTTTACATGTAGATAACATATATGTTTATGTATTTACACACACACACAGATACACTATTTTTCTTTAAAAGATCAACAGCAACATCACATAATGTGGGATTTATGGGAATAATCACAGAATGAAGGCAGAGGCATATATTTTCATGTAGATAGTATAATTTAGTGAAGATAATATTTATAACTATTTGTATCCCAAATAATATGAAATCTATATATTTTTATATTTTCTCTATGTGTATGAACTTCCATGTGTGAGAGAAAGCCTATGGGATTTGTCTATGCCTGGCTTAATTTCATCCATTTGTGTATGTCAGTATTCTTTCATTTTTTTTTTTCCCTTGGCTAAGTAATACGCATTCTCTGTCTGTACCAAATCATCTTTATTTGGTTACCTGGTGAATGTCTAGCTTGGTTGCATGTATTTTCTATTGTGGATTGAGCTGCTCTATATGTGCGCATGCAGGTATCCCTTTATTATGTTGATTTTTATTTAAAAAATTCTGACAATCCTGGATCCACTACATAGAGTTGAGAGAAGGAATCCAGGGAGTTTTTGATGTTGTGACATGATGAGTTGGCCGCCATTGGGACAGCTGCATCCCACGTCAGAATGCCACTTGGTTACTAGCTGCTCCATTGCTGACCAGCCCCCTGCTGATGCACCTGTGAAAAGCCAGTGATGGTCCACGTGCATAGGCCCCTTCCGCTCCCAGGGGAGACTGGGGTGAAGCTCCTGGTTCCTGGATTTGGCCCCACCCAGCCTTGACTGGTTGAACACCTGGGAAATAAACCAGTAGATGGGAAATCTGTCTTCCTCTCTGTCTGCCTCCCTTCACCCATCACTCTGCCTTTAAAGTAAATAATTAATCCTAAAAGAAATTATAAAGATGAATTAACTTTTGAGAAAATGAGCATTTTTTTTCTTTCAAAGTGTTGCTAGCTTTAAAATGTTACTTGAGTATTGTTAGCATAAATTACTTCATCTAGGATACTCTGTTGAAAAAAAAAAAGCACACTATAAAAAAAGTTAAATTTTGATCTCAAGTTATTTTCCTCCGTGTATAAAGGAACTTTCCTTCCAAAGCTGTTCATACTTCCTGAGAGTTTCCTAAAGGCAGAAAATGTGTGAGTGTTTTTAAAATCTCATCTGAAATCTCAGCATACCTAAATCAAAACTTTACACATTCGGTGAAAGTATACATCTGATTTTTTTCCCCCTTAATCACATACATAGGACTTTCCTGTTCGGAGCTTTTTTAGTCTTGTCGTTTGGTAGATATTTCCCTTAACTCCTTTATCCTCCCAGAATATTACATAGTAAATAATTCAAGGTGAGTTAACTTCCAAAACGTTTTAATGTTTTAATTATATTTGAAAGTTAATTGAGTATTTAGGGAGTGAACTTGTGGTTGAAAGAGCTGTTTCTCTTTAATGACTTTCAAGTAAGAAGGTAAAAAATAATTTTTTAAATATGAAAATTTTAAAGATAAGTTTATTTCAAAGCAAAAAAGAAAAAACGAGTTTGTTCCTAGTTTTTTTCATTATATGCATTTCCTAAGATGACTCATCTGGGTCAAATTCAGATGTTCTGCATTTCAATTCCATTTCCCAGGACCTTTTTGAAGTACCCTCAGAGTGTGAATAAAACTGTCTTTCTTTGTAACTTCCAGTCAGCTGGGCAGGCATCCCCAAGCCACAGTGGTATACTGTGTAATTCCCAGTGCTGCAAAGATCAGGGGCAGTTAGCTGTGGACATGAAAGAGAAAAATTCTCTGCACACATAACCCCTGGTCTGAATCTTCTTAGAAAGGGATTAGGAGGGAAAGGCATTAAAAAGGGAGTAACACAGGCCAGACAGGAAAGTATGATAACAATGATTGAATTGGGAAACATGTGATACAATAATTAAAAGTCTTTATTTTCATTTATTTGAAAGATAGAATGAGAATGACAGTGAGCAAAAGAGAGAGAGATCCTCTATCCACTGGTGAACTCTCCAAATGGCTGCAGCAGCTGGGGCTGTTTGCTGTACCAAGTCAAGTCTGGAACTCTATCCAGGTCTCCCCTGTGGGTGGCAGGGACCCAAGCACTGGGGCCATCTTCTGCTTTCCCAAGGAGCAGGGAGCTGGACTGAAAGTGGAGGAGCCAGGACTTTACAACAGCAGTCTGAAATGGGACACCAATGTGGCAGGCGATAACTTAAACTGCTCCCCAATCCTAGCCCTAGACTATTTTCCCTGCCCTACTCGTTAATATTAGACACCTTGGTAAAATATCTGAGAGTAGAATGTGCTGCAATCACCAGAATCCACACCTGGTTCTGCAGTTGACAAAAAGCTGATTCCTCATGTGTAAAATGGAGATCACTTTCAAAATTGTTGTAACAAGTCCATAAGTTATGTTGAGCATTCATAGTAGCTGGCATGTTGTGAACCCTCACAAGTGTAAGCTGGTGCCTCCTCCTCCTCATCATAAAAGGTTACATTGGACAAAACGAATGAGAATGCCAAGGACTTGTTTTCACATCTGGAATTCAATGCGGATTTCTGATTCTGCTGGATCTCCACTGCTTAGAGTATCACAGTCCCTTTAAGAGAATTACTTTGTCAGCAGCACAGCTGGGAAAAGGCGTCAGTTAGCAAAGATCATTCTGTACTGAGAGGAAATTTTCTGTTTCCTCTCAGTACAGAGAGAGGGTCAACACAGACAACACTTGAACCTCAGTGAGTTGTGGATAGTGTCTGAAAAAGAACTGTGTGAACTTACTTGTTGAAAGTGGAAATGGAGAAAATGTTTAATATATGGGGGTTTTCAAGGTGGGGTGGGGAGGAGATGCCTTCCACTGACTGACGAGTCCCAAAAAGAGAGATAATGTTTTTTGCTTTTTCATTTGTTGTTAGATTGTAACTCATCATTTGGGAAACTGTACCTAATTTTCTAATGACTGCAGATTTTGTTTTTGCTATATTATTATCAAAACAGTTTTGGTCATTATGCCAAACTGGAAATTTGAAATATTGTTGAACTGTTTCAATTTGGGTGCATTTAGGTAGATCTCAATTGGGTTTACTGGCTTCATGATTCCAGCTCTTTAGAAAAACGGACTAAGATGGCTTGCCGAGGTCATGAGCAGTGTGCCCATGAACACTGGTCCTTATAGGCAATTCCCACAAACTGATTGAACTGAGTAAATATGGGCTTTGCATTGGATTGTGCAATAGACATGGTGGTTGGAGTATTCGGGGGCCTCTTTTCTTCTTGGTTCCTGATGCTAGAAGCTGATGGGTGGAATTGGGAAAAATCATGGTGATGCCTGTAGCACACTCATGCCACTGAGCAGGATCATAGGCAACCAGTGCTGTGATCCCTCTACATCTGTACTTCCTGCTAATCCCATATTCAAATACTTTGTAGAATAATGCTTGTCTTCTTTGTTTCGTTTTGTTAGTGCTCCTATATTCCTCCCTGTAAAAGAGAAAATCAAAAGAATTTGGAGAGTGTCATGAATTGGCAACAGTACTGGAAAGATGAGATTGGTTCCCAGCCATTTACTTGCTATTTTAATCAGCATCAAAGGTAAGTCAATAGTTATATGTGTACATTCAAACTATTTGTAGCTTCTAAGTTTGCCACATTGATAAATCTTAGATTGTTTCTATTTTACAACAATATGTCAGTCTTAGCTTCTTCCATTGTGTGGTTAGGAAAGCTCCCTCTAGATACATGAAGGAATGTCAGTGTCTTAAAGGGGAACATTGTGTATTAGTCACACTCCTTGAGAATTGTAAATGAATGAACAGAAGCTGACAATGAAAGGATTTGTCTGTATTTTGGACCTAATCAAATCCTACCTTTTCTATTCTGAAATGTCAATAAAATGAGTTCATATTATTAAAATTTTATTTGACATAGAGACCAAATTGTAGTCATATAAATGATACATATGCAGTTCCTTGCACTAGACCATTTCAGTACCAGACTTGACTTATCTACTAATTTGTTCACCAAACATTTACTAAGTAGTTAAAACTCCTTTCCACATAACTGTACTTGGTTGTTCCAGTTACATCAAACCTTGTTTTCCTCCCACAAACTCTGTTAGTGAATGGCACTATTATTCATGCATTTACCAAAGCCAGAATCCTGTGAGTAATTCTCATTTCTTTCCTTTACTCTCTTTAACGTAATGAATACATTCATTATCATGTTAATTTTATCCCATAATGACTCTTCTGTATCTTCTTAGTTCAGATCCACATTATTTCTTAACTCATTGCTCTGAGTTTGATGAAACTCTTCCATCTGCTGTTGACTTCTAAAAGCTTTCAATGGCCAGAGCTGGGCCAGGTCAAAGCCAGGAGCTAGAAACTGAGTCTTGATCTTCCCCATGGGTGATAGGCACCTAAGTACTTGACCTGTTTTTTCTTCTTTCCAGAATGTATATCATCAAGAAGTGGGAGTCAGGATCAGAGCCAGAACTTGAATCCAAGCTCGCTGATATAGGATGTGGTATTCTAAGCAGTCCATTAGCTGCTATACTAGAAGCTTATTTCTCTTTCAAGGGTCTTCTAACCAGTCCTCCCACCTCCACTCAGCCCCACTCAGTCATTTTCCAAGCTGCTCTTAAGGCAATTTCTCTATCAATGTTAGTCCAGCCACATTTCTCCTCATAGTTTTCAGAACAAAGACTAAACATCTTGGCATGACTTATGCTTCAGATACCTATTGTTCTATTACAAACTATCCTGAATCTTAGGGCTCAATATAATTATGTATTGTGGTTTGCTGTGTTGACTGAGCTACTTAGTCCAGATGGCTTCCCCTTCATGTGCCCAGCGTTGGTGCTGGCTATTGGCAAAGGTACCTCTGTTCTCCTCAGTCTAGCCTTTCTTCTCTAGTACACTTGAGAGGAGCAGGCTTAGGCTCTGGGTTACTAATCATATCATTTCTGACATATTCCATGGCTCAGAACAAGCCACAGAGCCAGCCAGATTGTGACTTTTTTTTTTTTTAATTTTTACAATCTTTACATAGTTAATTAGGGTAAAAAGGTTCAAGGGCTACAGGAAAGTGGGTAAGACTATTATTTTTTCCATATTGTTTCCTTCATGTTTAAAAGGGGGTATTAATTTTCCACCCTCCCCAAATCCCGGATGTACGGTATGCTCTGAGGTTCTTGCTCAAGTGGTTTTGATATTTCAACAATTATGAATCGCTGCCAATCTTGCCACTCCAAGCACTATGAAGTCTCTGAAGAATCCACTGATTGACATAGTCCATCATAGAGTCTCCGTTTGCCCCATATTTCACTGCCAACATATACCTGAGATGGATGGTTGGTTGACCTGTTCTGTCTTCTCTCTTCTTGGTTAGGGTTCTGAGTCCAGCATTTTAATTGGGGAGATCTCCAAAGAAACTTTGTCTGAGGTGTTCTCAAACCAGATTCTTGTATGTGCTAGCAAGTACAGAGCCCGGCATAGTCCATCGCCCCAATCAGCTGGTGGTTGCAATTGCTGGGTTGGTTCTGTTTTCACTCCCTACTTCCACTGGAACCCTTGGTTGTTGCAGTCCAGCCTGATTCTGCCCAGCCAGATTGTGACATTTTGAAATCGACTCATTCCTGCCATAGGAGGAACTGTGAAGGATTTATAGCCATCTTTTCTCTTCTACAGCCTCTGAACTCCTTAAGCTCTCACACCAGATCACCAGCTGGCCAGCCTCATTTCCCCTCGCCTACTGTTGGTAGTCACCATCCTAAACTATGTGCAGTTCCAGAATAGCTCATGCCTTTCTTTCCAGGTCTTGTTATTTGTATCTCTGGCTTCTTGATTGTCTTGCTCAAGACTCTCCTCAGATCTCATCTTCCTTGGCTGCTTGCCATGATGCTCAGGTTTGGTTCAGCTGTACATTAGTTGGGGTGTTTTCTCTTTCAGGTAAACTCATACTAAGGCAAACAATTAAGAAGTTTGTTGTTTAATAAAAGGTTGTTATTAAGGTTGGACTATTATTGAGAACCCAATTCTGCCTACATGTGGCTCCCTTCATGGTTATAATTGTGGCTTCTGTAGTTGATGTCACAGTCAATGCAGCAATGTCCACAGGCAGGAAGATCTTATCTTTCCTGGGATGTTTTCCTTGAGGTTAGGAAGGAAGCTTTGCCCCTGCTTCTCATAGTCAATCTTCATTCGTTTGTCCTTGTTCATGATTTATTCCTTTACCAGCACTTAAACCAAGTCATAAGAAAGAACAGTCATAACCTACCCATGATTTGGGGAACGGACAATGTCTCTTACATCGTGTAGAATTGGGAAGGAAAAGAGGAGAAGGGCAGAGAATTGTGGAACAACCCCAAGTGCCATCTGCAAGGTGGGTCTCCCTCATACAGCTGTGGCTGGCAGGCAACTGCACATAATTGCCAGAGGAGCATTTGAAAAACTGTGCCACACATCATATAAATTTGAACCTTTTATGATTGAATTCAGACATTAGCACTTAAAAAAATTGTTCCTAAGGGCTTTAACATAAACCTAGGATCTAGAGCCACCATTCTTTTCTTCAACCTGTCTCCCTTTACCGGTAATTTCTCGCATATACATTTTCCTGCCCAGATGGTACAAACTTGCTAAGGGTGTGGGTCAGTCTTTGTATCCCCTGCACCCAGTACAGTGCTCTGTTTTCAGTTAGTATGGAATGAATGCAATGTGCCAAATTTATAAAGGGAGGTCATTTGATTCTAAGGAGTTAAATTTATTAATGGTGACAGACTTGCATGCAATATAAGCAGATTTTCTCAACCAGAAAAAAAAAAAAGGAAGAACCTTTAAAATGGAGTGACTGCAATAGAGAAACCAAGGCTTGATCTTGCAAGGTACCTTAGTGGGAGAGGCTGTATGCTAAGGAATGGTGAGTTTATGAACTGGTAAGGTAGCTTGGGGTTAGATTTCCTTTTTCCTCACCCACCCCCAAGATTGATTTATTTAGTTGAAAGGCAGGACTAGAGATAGAGAAAGAGAGAAAAATCTTCTGTCTGTTAGGTTTACTCCCCAGATCGTTACAGTGTCTGGGACTGGGCCAGGCCAAAACAAGGAGCCAATAGGTTCATCTGAGTCACCCACTGGGTACAAGGGCCCAAGTATTTAATCCATCTTCTGCTGCTTTTTCAGGCACATTAGCAGGGAACTGGATAAGAACTGCAGCAGCCAGACCTTGAACTAGCCCACACAGAGGATTCTGGCATTGCCAGTAGTAGCTTAACTTGCTACTCTACAACACCAGCTACTAAGTGTTAGATTTCTAAAAGGTCATTAGTACCATACTCTGGAGATGGTATTTGTCATGTAGGCAATGAAAATTTATTAAAACCTTTTTAAAAGTTTGTTTTATGTTTTAAAGACATTTACTTTTAGGTATTTGAAATGAACAGCAACAGAGAGGAAGGGAGAGGGATAAGGAGAGACACATATCTTCCGTCTGCTGGTTCACTCCTGAAACAGCTGCAACATCCAGGGTTGGGCCGGGCCAAAGCCAGAAGTCAGGAGGAGCTCCATCCTGACTCCCACATGAGTGGCAGGGATGCAAGGACTCGGGTCATCTTCTGCTGTTTTTCCAAGCACATTAACAGGAGCTGGCTCAGAAATAGAACAGTTTTGGGACCTGAAATGGCATTTCAGTAGGGGATGCCAGCATTTCAACACTCATACTCCCCCCTCCCATGACAAAAGGGTTTTTAAACCCAGGCATGAATAGGTCTTTTGATTTAGAAAGTAGCTGGTATGACTGCTGAACATGAATTAGGTGCGTTAAGTGTAAGGAGGAAGATGAGGATTGAGTGTTAAACAAAAAGTATTTTGAGTGACTTCCATATGCCAACCATCGTGAATGGCATGTTATTTTTGATCAAACACTAGTCAAACGCTATGTCAAACGCTAGTCTCATGTAACAGATAAATAATTTGCCTGCCACACATAGCTGTTAGGTGAAAAAAAGTGAGTCTGACTCCCAAAGCTCCTTCTGTTAATCACTTGTTGGGCAAGCCAGGGACTCGGGGCCTTTATGAAAGTGTTGGCAGTAGCAGTGTATGCCAGTATCAGAAATCCATGCCAGTCCATACTGGCATCAGTATGACTTAACTAGAGTGCAAGTGATGAGGAAGGCGAAGTGTGAAGTTTGGCTGAACCTGAGAAAAGGACATAGCGTCTCTTGAGCTTTGAAGGACTCGTAGCCACAGAACTTTGGAAGGGTGAACAGCACAAGCTTTTCGTTCAGGAGGCAGCAGTAAGCAGCAGTGACGAGGGATCTGGGAATCTCTGGCACCAGGCTGCCGTGGAAAGAGAGAAAGAACGCATCCTGGGAGCAGCCCCACCCCCATGTGTTTATGGAAGTCGGAGTCTGGAGAGTTGTCCACAGCCCTTGTTCAGCACGGCACTATTCACAGTCGCTTCAATACCTGTGGTCGGATGAATGACTAAATGAAACATGACAGATACGCACTGTGGAATATTATTCTGCCGTTAAAAGGAAAGAAAACCTCGGAACCTTTCTCATGCATTATTATTCAACTGAGGACATCACTGTT